ATGGCGTTCTTTGACTGCCAAAAGTTCAAGTTTCTCCGGGTTCTCCTTGCGCACATGTAGGGGCTTGTCTGCCCACGCTGCGATGTTGTCCAAGCCACGTTTTACATTACGTTGCGCCGTCAGAACACGCTCTTGGAGCGTATTAATCGCGCTGTACACTTCCGCCATCCACTCTGTGACTGTAAACAATTAATTAGCAAGGACAACGCGATGGGAAATCTAAAGGCCTTACAATCAGTGTCGCTATTAAGACTGTTATCACTGAGATGTTTATTGTTAGTACTTACAGTCATCGTTCCAAGTGAATTCCTCAACGCCGCGGCCGAGCAGCTGGTCGATGGCGTAAATCTCCTTCTCAATAAGCGCTACTTCAGTCTCGTGGCTACCCTCGCGGATCGCGTTGTACCAAGCGATAGCGCGGTTCAATCGGTTCATGTCGTACTGTTTGTTGTTACATTACTTTTAAGATCGTCGTGGTGCATGTGATTTCACTGATATGATTGAAGTGTACAATGTAATACAGATGTTTACTAACCTGCAATTTTTCATTCCGGTCGTATAATTCCAAACCCTCAGCAGGTATACCTTGTTTATCTAAATATTTAAAATATCGTATCTCACGGAGTAAAAGAACTAACTGTAAAAACACAGGCATGGGTAAAACGTCTTTAAAATGCACTTAGACTTAAAAAAATGAAGTTATAGCAAATTAGTTTCAAAATCTGAGTCTCACTCAAGAAATAAAATTTCTTACCTCTGGACTAAAATTGTTTCGGACGAATGGTGGATCGCGGTAAATAAGGTTCTTAACGAGGTGGACCTTGCAGATACCAGGCACTGTGGCACACCACTGCTTGAACTGCCGGTCTTCCTGCACGTTCAGATAGCCCAACATCTCGTTCTGTTTCTGCTTCATGTACATCGCGTACTCGGTTGTTATTATCCTTAATATGAAAAGCCATATTTGTACATCCAAAAAAAAAATTGAAAATGTGACTTAAATACGACAAGTAATGTACGGTAAATACGTACGGATCTTCAAACAATATAAAATCCTCCATCGGATCTTGAAGTCTTTTACGTAATTTGTGTATCCACCATATCATACCGCTAACTGGTGGGAAAAATGGATCCACCATAGGTCTTTGTGGCCCTTTCGTCAATCTCTGAGAATAAAAAAAACGATTATTACATGATATTCCACTAGTTCAAATTACAACATAAAAGTCGGGTGTAATACGTACCCCCATTTCTTCATCAAATATTTCTTTTACGTCGTCTAGATTGGAATGCATTAAATCCAAAAGTTTAGTAAGTTTAGGTTTCAATTCCTCTTTTATCACAGGACGATGAAATAGATCGCCAATGATTTGGAAAAACTGTAATACAATGGCATATATTTACCACGACAAAAGAAGACTATCACTCTACATTTATGTACTCTCCATCAAATCACATGAAACTAACTTTAAAGAAATGTTGCAGATTCTCACACTCGTCTAAGCCCTGTGAAAAGAGCGAAGCGAGCTTCTTGTCCACATCTTCTAGCACCACCATGTGCTTCTTGTGATCCTTGATGAACGAGGGATCCTCCGGGTCCGCGGGGTCGTACGTTATGTTGCCCAATGACTGATACTTTATGGTGTATTGGTCTAGAACCTGGGTTAAAATATTAAGATTGGTTTTAAACTTTATTGCTTTTATATGTTATGTACCTATCCTTCTTACTCTCTTCAATTAAACTACATATTTTAATAGCCAAATTTAGAGTTTAATAGTAAAATATCACATATCCGAACCTCCATACATTCACTGCTAAGAATCTTTCCACGCAGACCGCAAAACTCTACTTTTTCCAACTTGAATATCTCGACGGTGGCTTCCAATATCTCCTCGATCATGGTGAGTCGCTTCATGTACTCATTGAAACGCATGAAGACGCGGTCAAAGTCGAAGGACCAGCGCACCGGCAGAACACCCGGAGGGAAGAACGTGTTTACTTTGTCCCGATTCATAGAGTATGTTTCACTACAAATAATTGGTCTCATTAAGAATGGATCTAATAACAAGAGTCGAGATAAACTACACTTCAAGAAGAACCTAATAAATGAGATATTTCCTTTAGCACGTTATATTATCAATTGTAAATGTAACTTAAGGCGATAAAACTTACATAAAATGATTTAATATGTCAACAGCTTTCTTCAATTTCATCAACTGCTCGTCTGGCTCGCCTTGGAATATCGACAGTGGATCTATGGAGTTTGTGCATTGCTGCACGAGTAGATTGCATACTTCTCGTAACAATGCTAAATGACAAAATCATGTTATAAATGGGCACAATTTTGAAACTGAAAGATGAAAAGAATGCACATACGTATGAGTTTTTCAACGCTGCAGTAATACCGAGAGCTGCCCCAAAGCAGGCCGATGCAGTGGAACATCGGTCGGATGAGCGGCTTCGAATCGATAAAGTCCGTGCCTTCGATCGCCTCGAAATGCGGTATCAGAGGCTTCTGGTACACATAGATATCTCGGCATTCCACTATAGCTGAATATCAAATACATTTTGCATAAATTATTTAAAGTCTGGCACAACATGGCTCTACAATTTTAATTATCCATGAACTATCTACTGAACACACATATGATTGCGTATATTAGATGAAGTTAGATAAATAAACTTAGGAATCTGATGGTAATTTTTTTTATATGATAAAATATCTTACCAGCAACAATGTTGGTCAGCATACTCTTGAAGCAGTTCAAGTAGACGCTTTTGGTCTCCTCCAGGTAGTGCGCCATGCGCTTGACGCGAGGGTCGCGCAGCTGCGAGTAGATTCCTTCAAGGTTGCGCAACCTCTGCGTATAGAAGTCTATGTCGGCACTCGGCAACGGAAACTTGGTTTTCTTGAATACTAAAAACGAAGTAAATTTCTACACGTATCATTACATACCTACGAATAAGTTGATTTGGTGATATAAACTTGAAGGTAAAAAGTTTACTAAGAAGGTGAAATTAAAATAAAGATATTATTAAAGGTTTTCTCTGAATTTACCAAGATAAGAATCTTCTTGGAGAAGATCGTGTACTTGCTGCGCCCATTTAATAATTGCGCCTTCAATATTTGTCTTTAGAGCCAAGTCTACATCTTCGCCGTCACTGAAATACATACGAGTTCGTGTCACTTGGAATGTTTATCCATCATCTATTACTACCTCATCCTTATTCATAAACATGCAGTTGCTTTTAGTATTAACTGATGGTAATAAAAACTCCTTGATAGCGATCCAATAGTCACCTTTCCTTTAACCTTGTTTCTGCGTAGTAAATATTCTCTACGCCCGCCGGCATCGGCAACATGACCTGACTCGACATCTCTCCTTTTAGCTGCAAAATAATACCCAACTAATTAACTTACATAACTAACAATCATGTATCATAATTAAATAGAAAAGGATGTAAAATCTATGTGCTAAGTTCTACATTTTGAGTACTTGACGATTGACCAAAAAGATCCTTTATTTGAAGAATTTACGTTTTGTATAACAGGTTATCAACTTGTAAAAAATATTTCTCCTTCACGGATGTTACAGCTTTATTAAAATACAGTGAGAAATGAGATCAAAAGTAACCTGATGCATCAAACTTCTTAGATCGTTGACATGTCGCCGCATGTCCTGCTGCACTACCTTAGGCCAACCTTTCTGGTTCTCAGGGTTACACAGCATAGGACCTATAACTTCATCAGCCATTACACTAAGGTCCATGAGGACGTTGCCTGACATTTCACCGATCGTTAATACCTACAAGGTTAATATTCACGATTTTTATTATTAGGTTAGGTTATCGTAATTTGGAGAGATTTTAAAGGAAACCTTGTGTATTACCTGACGCAAATTAGCTTGCGTTACTTTGTCATTAATATTTCTCAAGAAATACACCATCTTTCCTCTGCTTATTGGCGGGAAATGGGTAGCGCAAGTTAGCTGGCCCGCCGTATTCATTCGAAATACAATTACATCATACTTGGGCATGTCAAAAAATCTGAAAAGGATATGCTGTAAAAAAGGACAAGATTTTTTAATTCAAACATACCGTTCAATAATTTCTGCCTACCCCCAGATTTACATTTATACATTATAGTCGATCTAGTAGCGAGATTCAAATCGAAGAAAAACAAATAGTGCTATATTAAATATACCCTTTCGTCTCCAGTTATAAACTTTTGCCATTTGTCAAGCTTTATCTTTAAAGTTTTCATAATATATTCACTCATGAATTCAAGTCTTGTGTCGACATCCTCTTTCTGTAAATATAAAAACAAAATAAAGCCTCAAGACAAGTCATGTATAATGGAAATGCAGCTATTTAATTTTAACGTTCGTGTAAGACTACGATACTTACATCACCCATTTTAAAAATATATTACTTTAATATTTTAACACACTTAATATCTTATACCCATTTTGTTAATCAGTTAAATAATACCCTAACAAATTCTGATATTGTAAACAGAAAACAACTTATTGGGAAATATTATCATCTATTTTCGTTGTTGAATTAATGATTTTCCAAGTTTCTATGGTAACAACTTTTTTGAAATTCAAAATTGAATCAATCTAATTATATTTATACTCTTTGTTAATAAAACCTGCCAATCTTCAGTTATGTTATATAATATTCTACAATACTACACAAAATACGATGATTTACATTATGCTTTAACAAACTTACGAATACTTACAAGTCCGGTAGATAAAAGTAAAAAGACAAAGGAGCAGTCTTCTGATTTCATCTCGTCATGGATTCATTTTCTGGGATTAAGTAACTCTGCGATAGGTTGAAAAAAATAGAGAAATTTTGCTGAAATCAAATGCGAGACCATTTTTCCTTAATGAGGTTTTTTGAGTGTTTTAAATAATTATTGTTTCAATAAATTTTAAAACGCTCATCCTAACATCAATGTGCTTTTGTTGTTCTGTCATATGTCAAAATACGCGCCAAATTAAGTAAAACTTTGATTTGAAGTTGGCTTGTTTTAACATTATAATTTTAAATATCACACATATCATTAAATAATTATAATGGAAGGCTTCGATGATCCTGGAGTCTTTTTTTCTGATAATTTTGGCGTCGAGGAAAATGAATCACAAGATCAAATCAACCTGCAAGCCGTAAAGAAAAAGTTCAAAGAATTTATTCGACAATATCATACGGGGAATTTCAATTACAAATATAGGTTTGTAGATAACATTCGTAACTTAATAAGTACATTAGTAATTATAACATAATTTGTTTTTATTTCACTTCTTGTTTCAGAGATGCTCTCAAACGTAATTATAACCTAAACCAATACTGGGTTGAAATAAATATAGAAGATTTGTCTAGTTTTGATGATATTTTAGCAGAAAAATTATATAAGAAACCAACTGAACATTTGCCAGTTTTGGAAGAAGCAGCTAAAGAGGTAATTTTTTTTAAACACTGTTTAACTACTAAGAGACATTGAAAGGTTTCAAAACAAAAACGTTCAAATAGTATAGGACAAGGATGTTAAATAATATCCTTTAAATCAAACAAGTAAACGCTAAGAACACTTATCAACTTAACTTATGTCAATTATATACCGTCAAATCTGGATAAGACAGAAATATAAGTTAGAGTCCGAGCCCTGATGGATGATCTCCATAGGCAAGAAACTGGACTCTCACTTATTCAGATTCTAATAAACTTCAAAATCTGCAAGTCACCACATCCAAAATAATATATTTCAGTTAGCAGATGAGCTGACTGCCCCTCGACCTGAAGGTGAGGAGAAAGTTGAAGACATACAAGTCTTACTGTCATCTGATGCACATCCGTCTAATTTAAGAGAACTTAAGGTAGATTTCTACGTATATTTAATATTTTTAGGTGCATACCTTTAATGTTATAAAATGCACGACTTATAATTAACAACGACTAAAAAAAAGATTATATAATATTTGAAAATTAATTTATTATTTATTATATTTTTCAGTCTGATACAGTTTCACGTCTTGTAAAGATACCAGGTATTGTGATATCAACATCAGCTATAAAAGCAAAGGCGACAAAAATATCAATACAATGTCGTTCTTGTCGTAATATTATACCCAACTTGCCTGTCAAACCTGGTCTTGAGGGATATGTTATGCCTAGAAAATGTAATACGTAAGTTAAATGCTATTTAAATATATTATACAAAAATCCACATCATAGTTTAAATAAATTATTGTTATTATCATTTAAATTAAAGGATAATAAATTATTTTCAGGGAACAAGCTGGTCGACCTAAATGTCCTTTGGATCCATACTTCATTATACCAGATAAATGTAAATGCATAGACTATCAGGTAAGCAACAGTTTGTTACAAAGTCAGACTACCTAGATAAGCAAGAGTCCATGGAACCACAATAATTTTCTCGCTTATGAAGTTTGTCTGGACTGGATTAAACAATGACTCATTCAAAGTGGTTTGGCGATTGTCTGAGCTGTATTACACAATGACTCGTTTATAGAGTTTTGACTGTGTTTTTTAGGTGTTGAAGTTACAAGAGAGTCCGGAGAGCATACCGCAGGGTGAGATGCCGCGTCACCTGACGGTGTATTGCGAGCGTACACTGTGCGAGCGAGTGGCGCCCGGTGCGCGAGTCACAGTACTCGGCATATACTCCATTAAGAAGATAGCTAAAATTGGCGTAAGTGAATCGATCACTATAATCCCGTTGGTGCAACCTTACCTAAATGTGGCCACAGAAGGAGGCTTAAAAGTGCCACCATAATAGGATAAATAAGACCCATTGACTTAAAAGAAGAAATTTTCTTGATAGAGAAAATATTCTAAAAAAATTACTCTTTCTTCACATCTGCTTAAAGTACTAAATACTGATCGCAGATAAAGCCTGGACAAAAAAAAAAGTGATTCGATAATTAATTGTAGTATAATTAAATCATTAGTAAGAAAGTTTTGATAACTTAATTTTAAAGGAACTCGGGCTACAAGGTTGCTGTAGAAGAAAGCCCTTCTTTTAAAAGTCATTTGGGCATACAATAATTAAAAATTTTCATAAATTATTTTACATTTATGAATTATGAGTATTAAACTAAATTTAAGTGAAGAAAATTATTATTGTTTATGAACAGAAAGAGAACCGGGACAAAGGTTCAGTAGGGGTGAGGTCGTCGTACTTGCGTGCGGTTGGGCTGACCGCGGAGGAAGGCGTGACGGGTGGACTCCGTCCCTTCACCTCCGAGGAGGAGGAACAGTTCCGCCGTCTGGCCGCGTCCCCCGACATATACGAAAGGATTGCCAAGTCCATCGCGCCCAGTGTCTTCGGCGTTGTCGATATGAAAAAAGCTATCGCCTGTTTGTTATTTGGAGGTATGTATATTAAGAAACAAATTCGTAACCCACTTAACATTGATTATCGTACACCAAACTGATAATAGATAAAGGAATAATATTTAAAGGAAGGAAATTAATGTCCTTGAATATAAAACGCGTTTGCATTGTGGAAACTTTGCAGTAATAAATATTTGTAGGGTCTCGTAAAAGGCTACCGGATGGTCTGACCCGGCGAGGAGACATCAATATTCTGTTACTGGGTGACCCTGGAACAGCCAAGTCCCAGTTGCTGAAATTTGTGGAGAAAGCTGCCCCCGTGGGGGTGTACACCTCGGGTAAGGGCTCCAGTGCTGCAGGACTTACCGCATCAGTTATCAGGGATCCTGGAAGTGTAAGTATATTTATTTAATAGTCAGCCACTTTAAGATTATTTTTTAAATATTTTTCCCTTAAAGTATTTCTTGTAGTTTTTTTTTGTTTGTCTCAGTAATTAAAGTTGGAAATTGAATTAAATTAAATTTTATTTATTTAAGCCCAGTTATTAATGGAGCCAGATCTTATGAAAAGTTTAAATCCAACCGTAGCAAGAAATATTCAGATTATTCTAATTCATAGCATGAAGAAACACACAGATTAATCGTAACTAATGTTATTCGATGATGCAGCGTAACTTCGTGATGGAGGGCGGTGCGATGGTGCTGGCTGACGGCGGCGTTGTTTGCATTGATGAGTTCGACAAGATGCGTGAGGATGACCGCGTCGCCATACACGAGGCTATGGAGCAGCAGACCATATCCATCGCCAAGGTAAGCGCTTCTTCGATTCGCTGCGCAGAACAATTTTAGGTATAGAGGGGAAGGAAGTGAGCAGTGCTCAGATGATTTTGAGACTAACGTATTTAAAAAGAAGTATACAGTATAATAAACTGAGTCTAAATAGCTGGAAAAGCAGGTGATGGTTATCGTTAAATTCCACCACCGTGTCACTTGTATGAAACATTTTTTTTTATTTAATTCACGTTCTTTAACAGTGGAAGCCAACAGTTTATTACATTATTTACAAATTAATAATTTAACGTTTTTAACTAATTGTTAATGTTTTTTTCGTCTTCCATAGTATATGAAGATCATGGCAGTGGTACAATCTCATTACTTAAAATTATTTTGACTGCAAAAATAAAATAATTAAAATTAAGTTGTATTTTTTAATATTAAAAATGTGACGTGTAATAGCTAAGGAAAGTTTTATCTCGCAGGCAGGTATAACAACAACGCTGAACTCGCGGTGCTCCGTGCTGGCGGCGGCCAACTCAGTGTTCGGCCGCTGGGACGACACCAAGGCTGACGACAACATCGACTTCATGCCCACAATACTCTCGCGCTTTGACATGATATTTATTGTCAAAGATGAACACGACCAGAATAGAGATATTGTAAGTATATTTACCACACAGTGTTATTTTTATTATTTGTGTTGCGGATGGATCTATTCATTTTCTTTTTTGCTTAATTTTCGTCGCATATTTTAAATTATTGGAAAACAATCCTAAACAATGAAGGCACAGAGAAATATCAATCTTAAATATGTCTCTTAGTTTTAAGGAAAAGGTTCGACTTAACTTTTCTAGCTGATAGTATAACTCTTTTAAAATATGTTGGCGACTCAAAGTGATTTGCGCAGTGCCTTCCCCGCGCATCCAGCTACACCCCAACACACCTAACATTGTGTTCCGTGCAGCCACTCCCATGAAGTTAAGAGCACAAAAATTTAAATAAAAATAAATCATGTTTATTATTGCGTTGGTGTACAGACTCTAGCGAAGCACATAATGTCAGTGCACATGGGCAGGGACAGCGTAGAGCGGGAGCTGAGCTCTGGGGAGCTGCCGCTGGGCGTGCTGCGTCGCTACGGGGCGTACTGTCGCGCGCGATGCGGCCCGCGACTCTCCGCCGCCGCCGCGGAGCGCCTGCGCGCACGATACGTACTCATGCGCGCCGGCGCCTCGCAGCACGAGCGACATGCTGACAAACGACTCTCTATACCTATCACTGTCAGGTAACACATACACACAAACACACACACACACACACACTGTTCTTGTATACAATGTAACTACATAAACATATTATCTTTCGTAAAGTCACAGCGGCTCTGAACACTTACAAATCAATTGTGTATGTCACACGTTAATCCTCTAGTAGTAATTAGGACTTAACCGTAGATCTAAAATTCTTAAATTATCTAATAAAATTCCTTCTTGACTTAAGGCGGATCAACATTCAGTAGATCGTTAAAGAATTTACAGCCTAAAGTCAGCATGCGTAGATGTCGCAGAACTCTCTCTGTCGTCTCTATCAACACTTTTAAGTCACGGGTGTGAGTTATTTTCAGACAATTGGAGGCTATAGTGCGTATATCGGAGTCGCTGGCCAAGATGCAACTAGCGCCGTTCGCGACTGAGGTGCACGTGGCGGAGGCGCTGCGTCTCTTCCAAGTCTCCACACTCGACGCCGCCATGACCGGCAGCCTCGCGGGTACATACATACAATTCATTACATTTTAATTCTAAAAAAAATTACTAACTATGGGCATCGCCAACCGCTGATTAGACTAGGTCAAGACCTTGCTTGTTTTACATTTTTAAATTCTCTAGCGAGGGGAACTGACCCTACTAACCTCCCGGCGATGTCATATGGAACGTGTTAACTTCTGTAATTGAATAATTCACTTATTCCATGACTAGGTTTTGGGTAAGTTTCTACATATTTTGACAGGTCAATAGTATAATACTAAACAAACTTCTAATATTTCCTAACAATTTAATAGTTTCACTTGAACATGTGAACTACCAACTCAGTAATAAATTAATTTTTAATATTCAGGTGCCGAAGGTTTCACTACAGAGGAAGACCACGAGATGCTGTCACGTATAGAGAAACAGTTAAAACGTAGATTCGCCGTCGGTTCCCAAGTGTCGGAGCAGACCATCATACAGGACTTCATCAGACAGAAGTATCCAGAGCGAGCCATATTCAAAGTCATACATACGATGATAAGACGCGGCGAACTGCAGCACAGATTGCAAAGGAAAATGTTATACAGACTGTCATAAAATAAAAAAAATAAAAATTGTAACTAAATAAAACTTTTTTTAATTGCTTCTTTTTCTTCTTAATGTAATATTTCTTTTATTATATTAATCCAATAAGACCTCATTAAAACTATTATAATTACCCCAGATCTTTAGTTTTAATATCTTTGGTGTTGCCTTTGAAAAAATTATCAAAGTATAGGATTAGGAGGACAACATAAAATGTATGAAAAATATAAATAAAACACCAATATTTTTTGTAGCCTTTATTGGATTAAACACTAATAAACCGCAAGTATTGGTTACTACAGACTATTCTAATGTTCACATTTAAGTATTGAATACATTAATACGATAATAGCAATGCTCAGAGCACAGTAAAATTATATATCAGTTGAACTGACGTTACAATGTTGAAGCTACTCGGTGGTCATTATATTCAAGCGTAGAAATAATCACGAAGCGGATAAAGGTAGAAAAAAGTTATCGTCAATTATGTCTCAAAATTGACGTGAGTTTACATTGCCGAAACACTTGCACAACTATCTCTAGTTATAGAAGAGATACGACTACATATCATTATACATGTGTCTCAACAAGCAACCCAGGGTTATTCAAATATGAAGTATTTAATGTTTAAAGAGAAAATAAAATTTAAAAAATAATGTTTTTTTTTGTTTTTTTTTTAGTTTTTTTGCAATGAGCTAAAGTAATATATTAATTTCCTAAAAATAAGATTGTAATTTTGTTATACTAAATCTCCTGGCACAAGCTTAAACTTAATTGGAATGGTTAAAAAGAATGTCGGTAAATTATTTTCACACTTTCAATTCCATAAATGTATCCCATAATAGTAGGGGAGGCGAAGCGTCGATTTCGGGATTTACTCTAGCTTGCCAGTTAAACATAAGAAGGAATCTTACACCCAGTCAAGTACCATAATTCCACCACACTTATCTTCGTATAGGGCCGCACTTTTAGGGGAGACGATTATGATACTAAGTTAAAAAACCTAGTTTACTGACAAGCTGCCCTAAAAACGCGACTCCACATGGTTATATGTATGTACTTGATTTGGGGCAATGTTAAACTGTCACGTTCGAGTAAATTCCAAAATCCCCGCTTCGCCTCCACTACTAAGTAAGAATTTATAGAATGGGTATAATTGTGTTCAATCATATTGATTGATGGGAGTACTTGATTTGGAGCAATGTTAAACTGTTACGTTCGAGTATATTCCAAAATCCCCGCTTCGCCTCCACGTAAATGTATGTAAATAATTGTAGTACGACTTATCCATCTTGAGACACAATTGATGATAACACAAATGACTCAACTAGAATATTAGGATCAAGACCGCCGGGTATAAATGATAATGCCGCTTAGACCGCGCCGGGAACACTGAAAGGATATTCGGGATGTTTTTCGACGCCCTTCCAGAAGAGAAAATTAAATATACGCCCTCCCTCGCCCTTGTCTAAGTTTTTTAAGCTATTTATTTCTGCTGGCATTACCTCAAAATCATATATATCGGAGTTTTCCTGAAACAAAATCAGTTGATCTGAAACAAAATAATGAGTCGTGCAACTATTACATGAGTTTATGAAATGTTAAATATAATTAAATATTGTGTTAGTGTATAGTGTATAAGAATAAAAGTTTATTAAAAAAATTATGATCGACACATCAGTGATATTAAGAGTTTTTTTTTAAGATTTTAAAAGACTGCAGATTCCCAGTACAATAACAAAAATTTTAAGCCTTCGTCTATTCCGGATTTATTTTTAAAAATGCCTTATTGTAGATTCAAATGGAGACATGCGATTATTATGTTTTATCATGCATCGCACAAAAGGACTTGTAGTTATATAATAATATTTGAAGAAATCATTTCAAAATATTGGATTGCTCGGACGAGCGGACGATTGTAAAGTTTAGTTCTGTCAGCACATGAAGTGGGAGGGGCGATGAGAAGACGGTGAGTTACTATGAAATTAATTGAAAGCACCAGAGTACTGCGACAACTGTTGAAAGGAACACTACCGCGCATTCGCTATCAAATGGCCACTAAACGGCGAAATTAAACAAAGCATAGTACACACCTTCAATCTCTTCTCACTAGTACTCTTTGGAATGACTACGACCTTTTGATTGACTAAGAAATTTAACAGTACTTGTGCCGGTGTTTTGCCATGTCTCGTGGCTATCTCCTTTACTTCTGGGTGGCCTAAAAGATCCGGAAAAGCGTCTGGGCTGAAAATTTTATGTGTCGACTTAAACATAGATAATGAAATAGTAAAGGATACTATGTGTGTTATGTGTGAGTACGTACTTGTAGTTGTATTTGTTGACGAAGTGGTCCTTGGCTCCGGGGCTGCCGAGCGGAGCGTACGCAGTCACCACGATGTCGTTGTCGGCGCAGAACTTGCGCAACTCCAGCTGCTGGAAGTAGGCATGCAGCTCCACCTGGAGCACCTGCGGCTTCAGCGTCGCGTACTTCATAATCTTGGTGATCTGCGCCTGGTTGAAGTTCGACAGGCCCAGGTTGCGGATGAGACCCTCCTTCTGGCATTGCTCCATCACCTGTTAATCATTTTGTAATTTCATTTTGATAATATTTTTAATTCAAAATTTAAGTGGTTATCGCAAAGCTAGCATTCATAATTCTTCTTTGTAAAATACCAATGGCAGACGATAAATAAATAAAAAGATATTTCGAGTTTTAACAAAGAATACTTTACGCAAGCGAAAAAAAATTCTGTAAAACTCACCCGCCAAGTACTAATATGATCGGTGTCCAAGTCGAGATCGTACTCCCCATTTTCCTCGACCATCGGTGTCATGGTCTCAAAGTTGCAATGGAAACCGAACGGGACATGTATTAAATACAAGTCCACATAATTCATTTGCAAACGGCTCAATTGTAGGTCAAGAAATTTGCGCACATCGGACGCCCTGTTGCCTACATGAGGCAACTGAAAATATTTTCAATAAATAAAAAAATTGCAAAATCCAATATCGAAATCGGAATCGAAAAAATCGCATAGTATTCGCATTTTGATGAACAGTGCTGAGTTTCATACTTAAGCATTTAGATATAAAATTTGTGACGTCCATTTTCTCCTATCGATATTTTATAGCAAACATTTTGAAGCGAAAATCGTTCTGACCCAGCATCTTTTTCATAAAAGACGACGTTTTGTTTTTTTATTAATTTAAAAAATATCGATCTATTCAAAAAGCCTTTAACTCTATATTCCGTGGAAAACGCATTTCTCGTATTAATATTGCGTATCGTGTAATCATTTTATGGACAACGTATTAATTTAATTCTGATATTGGTTTATAAAACTTGTAAATCAATATAATTCTCGCAACACATGGGTCTAATGATACCATCGCGGCTAGATAATGGCGGATTCTGCTAACACAGCGGACAATTATATGAATAAAACGCAATATCGCAATAACAGGGCGGAACGAAATTTTTACCAATATTACCATTACATAAAAATTATACTAGAGAGACTGACCTTCGTAGTGATAAATAAATCTTTTCTTGTACCCTTCCCATCAGTAATCCATTGTTTTATCGCATTACCGATGGCTTCTTCATTGTTGTAATTGAAAGCAGTATCGATGTGTCTGTAGCCCAAATCTAAGGCTTTATAGACAGTCGATTCTATCACATCAGGCGGGGCCTGAAAGTATTTTTGTACTATTAAATTTTCTAATTCATGAAGAGTTTAAACTTACAAGATGTGTGGTAGTACAAACCTGCCATGTGCCTAAACCCAATGTAGGCATGAGATCCCCAGTCTGGGACAGCGTCGCATATCGCATGGTGTTTTTTTTTTCCGTAATCCTGGATTAGCTGGACTACAAACTTCAACCACTCTCACACTCTTCAATAAACGTCTTTGTTCAGGAACAATCTGACAGATCTATTTTGGCAAATAGCCAAAAAAGAAAGTATTTTTTCTAATGAGTGCTTACTAATTATTTAAAAGCAATCGTACCGTACGTGCTGTGATCGATATTACACCAAATGTCTACAGGACAGGATGTGAGAATAATGCACCGCAATTGTGGGATATCTAGTATTGATTTTTATGATGTAACAACCTAGTATTTTGAACTTCCCGCTACTAATTCGTCCAGAAATGAGAGTTTCTCCACTTCTTTCATATCTTATAGTTTGTCTTGAATAAATAATCTACTATAAAAATATTATACTGAGTAAAGAAAGTTTTTGATGGTTTAAAATAATTATTTTTTTATCTTAATTTATCCAAAAATTTATAAACGCGTAATCTTTTGGAATGTCAATGTTCACCATGAATTGTTTTCAATGTTTGCAACAACGTTATACTTTGAAGTGATTGGTGGAATTTGGTTCTATTTAAGATCATGACCAATAAAACTTCAGAAATAAAGCAACCAAAATTGAAAACGTCTGAAGGAAACACAAAAAATTAACTGTGTTTTGTATGCGTTTTTTCGATTATTTCCCGCCGCCTGAAAATAAAATTCTGAATTATAAATGAAAAATAGTTAGTTTATCATAAATACATATCGATTATTTACAGTTTTTAATAAATAACAATATGGGAGTGAGTATTGTTTCAAGTCTAAAATGTATCTTGGAATTCATATATGGAAATTAAGATTGTTTTGTTATTTCTACGATTCACGATTTCATATTGTGAATTATTGTCACGTAGATAAATACAATTTAAACGTATGATTTATAAAAAAAACGTTAACCTTATATGTTGTTCAGAAAAAATCAAGCGCATCGACCATCAAAAGTAAAGAGAAGAGACAGGCAAGGAAATTGGAACAACGTCGAATAGCAGATGGAATGAGTAACGTAACTTCAGCAAACAAACTGACTGATCTAGCGGCTTTATGTAGGGAACTATTGGTATACCGTAATAAAGACATGGAAGTGGATATGTACATACAAAGAGTTACTGAACTTGACAAGAATGTGCTGGAATGGGCCATAAACTTAACAGAGAGAAATATGAGAAAACTGTAAGTTATTTAAAGAAGATAGTCTTTTAAACTATGTGGTGTTATGGTGCAGTTACAAATTACCATAATTTCATAAACAACTACAAAATTATTGGCCCGTGTATATTTTATGAATTGTCCATATTAGAAAATCCGGTTTTGTTTCTTATTAACTTCCAAGAGACTAATTTATAAAACTGGTTAGTTTCCTAAATGGCCAAGTAGTCATAGCAAAACAGAAGTGGTCCCATAAGAACTCATAGGATGATCCCATAGGGGTTGCAGAGCATAATAATTATAAAATTCTTAAAGAATACAAATGTGATATTAATTATTATGAAATATTTCCTTATAGACACATATAATATGGTTTAAAATTGGCCTTAAATGTATGGTATCTATTATTTTCAGATATGAAACATGTGCTTGGGGCTGGAATCCCGAGCGCAAAGTTGAGGAAATGACCGATGATTCTGCATGGTACCTGATTGCAAAACAAAACGACAAGCTTCTAGCTTTCTCACACTTCAGATTTGATATGGATTTTGGTGAACCTGTCTTATATTGGTAAGTATAGATTTATTTATTACCAGACCATTAGCATCAATAAACCTTTTCAATATTATAATCAAACCTTTATAATGGTTAAGAGTAATTTCATTAGGTGATAATTACTTCATAGCTAATGCAATAAAACTGATGTATCACACAATATTGTTATGATGTTTACCATTTAAAGTTCACCTTGACATACTGAGCACAAAGAATAATGTATTATTGCCTTGCACATTATTTGTTCCAAAGCTGATTGGAAAGTCTCCGGATCTTATCACAATTACAAAAACAAATCAAGTAAATATCTTACACATTTATTATTTACATTTAAATATATAACAATGAAGCTACTAACAAACTGACTTATTCTTAATTACCTTTAAACTTATATAACCAGATGAAGCAATGTAACAAACTTCTATTCCTTCTGAAAAGTCTGTTTTCAAAGACAAGCTTTTCTTTAGGCCACCACCGAATACATCTTGTGCAAAGGTATCGAAACATTAAGTGGAGGATGAACACTGTCAGTAGTGTGGTAGCTATGCTAATTGCTATTATATCTAATAATAAATATTGTATAAGTGACAAGTCATGGGCGGGTGAGCGCATGTGAGTGGCACCCTGGTGCCTCAACACATATTCAATCCAGTAAACAGCAGTTTCCAGTGGTGGGAGTGGCCTGTCCAGGAACTTGGCTCGTAATTTCATAGCATTTAGCTTATATCTGAAAAAA